GTGTAGAAACTCGGAAAATATTTCTATATATAAAAGAATATGTAAGATATGCGAACTCGCATGCAAACCAGAACGCGTAAAACACATTTTCACCGAAATCGTGAATATTCAACCCTTCGAACGATTTTCCTCCTCCACGATTACGTTTACAACACGATCACCTTCATGCGAAATCATCGAACAATTTTTCCTAATATATAAGTTGTATGTAATTAAATAATATTTTATAGAAATAATTATACGCAACACCTTGACAAAACACTAATTTTTAATTATAAATATATATTCAAAAATATTTATTCTATCGATTAAATCAATCAGATTTGACATAATATTTTTTGAAATTAACTTATTCTAGAAATAAATACCCAAACCATACGTCTAGACGTTTTCATTTCGATGAAACGCCAATGACGTGGGGTATACACGTAGGTAGTCAGTTAATTCCCCCCAAAAATAAAAATAAGCGCTTGTCAACTCGGATTGTTTTTCACAGCGCGACGACTCTTCGTTTATAAACGAAACAGGGTTAACACATTTTTCTAAAAAGATTCCACCGAAGATGACCAACAAAAAAAAACAAAAAGAAATTCTTCAAGATGTAAAATAAATTATTTATCGGTTTCAATAACGAGCACTAATTTTTAACCGATAGATATATATATATATATCGTACATACCAATTCATTTGATTAGGTACATTTTCACATAGAATAACGTATATGTCAGTATACTAATACCAAACCCGTTCAATTTGTTCGAAAGTATTGAAACTTTTTCAAAGCGGTCTATTAAACCGTCTTACTCTTCAACTAAAACTTTTCTCCCCCTATCCCGTTCCTCCCATTTTCGAAAAAGCCAAAACTTTTGATCTATTCATAAATATATGTGTGTGCATCGAAAAAAAAGTTTTCGACAAATTTATACGAGCTACTTTTTTTAATTTCTTTTTTTTAGAACGGAAGAGTTGAAAAGTCAAAGGATAACTGTTACGTCAGACCCAATTGAAAATGTGAACGCTTTCTTTCTTTCGAAAATCCTGCTCGGAATAAATCAATAACTATAAATACTACGAAACTACAAGCAAATAAGGGAAGAATACTTTAATCCCTTATACGAGTATCGAATTTGTTTCTTTAGTATAAAAAACATTTATATATTGCATTGAGTCATGAAATCATCATCATCATATCAACTACATGTTGACGTATAGTACACACATCATATCAGAGTATAGCAATTGATTATCACCTCAGAACCGGTGATGATGTGTTGTTACCTACTATTACTACTACTACTACTATTCAAAGACCATGAGTAGTGGGGAAAATCGTTCAGCACTTCGTTACGCTTTGGCGTCAACGATATTTGATGATGGTACGCGTCGAATGAGTATATAGAAGCCCTGAGGGTGATCAAATATTCCTCGAAAATAGTCCGCTTTACACTCTCTATGTCCAATACCAGATATACGTATTTCTAAGCGCACCTGTAACAGAGCTGCTTGCTTGCTTGCTTGTTCCGCAATTACATTTTAGCTTTCAATGTTAGTTGGGTTGGGCAGGTGGGGTGTATTGAGCAGGAGGTTGCTGGGTTGTATTTCTATCTCTTGACATACACCTTTAAACGAACATAAATTAGACTGGTATCTATTTTTAGATTTACGTTTGAACCCCTCCTCCTCCTCCTCCTCCTCCTCTAACTCCCCACTTATTGTTAAAACGTCTTTAACAAGTAAAATAATATTGTCTTGGTTTGCAATTAATTTTTCGAAAAAAATTAGAGAATAGATTATCGATTGTAAATGTCGTATCGAATCAAATATTTTCACAAGTAATTGCGTTATTTTCGGAAGATTTAGTTTTTTTCGTAAACTTTTTTTGGCACTCTCCGAGAACATTTGAATAATATAACGATTTCATTTAAATTAGATCATCGATAAGGATTAATTTTTATCCCGATCGTTTACGAATGATCAGTATAAGTAATATTTTCAAATGAACTATAAATATAACTATAAATATATAT